CGGGAACCGCCTGCACAGCATCCCGCCCGACATCCAGGAGCTGCGCAGGTGAGGGCCAAGCCGCCGCGGCCGCTCGTCCTGCTCACACGCAGCCAATGGCCTCTTCATGTGTGCGCCAGGCTGACTCTGCGCGCTGTCGGCCTCGTGCCTGCACATCGGAGCCGAACCCCTCAGGGTTGCGTGGTCCTCGGGCTGCCGTGGGGCAGGGGCAGTGCGGCAAGTGCCGCAAGAACGTGCTCCGTGTCTTCACTTTCTTGCAGCTCTCTAGATACGGGCAGGATGAAAGCTCAGCTCTCACGCGCCTGCTGGGCTGCACACGAGAATAAGGAGGCGCTTGTGGTGTGTGCGGACAATAGGGCCCTTGTTGTTGATAGCGCTGCAGTCCTGGAGGGTTCGCTGGCACAACTGGCCTTCTGTTTGATTCCTCTCCACTCTCATGGCTCATGTGGCCACCACAAGCCGACAGGTGTCCTGAGGTGTGGAGCCCCAGGCTATGCTCAGGTGCCACAATACATCCAGCTCTAGAGCTGGATCAACCCTCTGAAGGTCAATAGCACAAAACCCTATGACTGAATCATAGCCAAGAACATTACTGGTTGGGGACATGTCTTGCATAGGCTTGGTTAATTTGCTGGCTGCGTTGGCCAAGGGGTCGTACCTCCAAAGCCAGCCTTACTCATGAGCAAGCTGGGGACTGTGTTGTGTCCCTCTTGTTACATATGGGCATGTAATGTGTTCAGCTGGTTTCTCAAGCCTCTGACTAGCCTCTTTGCTAAGTGTGTCTCTTTGCTGAGACTTGGGCCTGAACTTTCTTCACCTTAGGCTCTTTGCTGGGAGACTCGCTGGAGTTGGTCTCTCTTGTGCAAGCTTCAGCAACCTTGACCCTAAGGAGTTGGATTTGCCTCAGTGACTCAGCAGAGACGGATCCAGTGGGAGCAAAAGATGTTGCACGTGATGTGCTGTCTCCTGAAGTTATAGTTGGAGGTACTAAAGTCATTTGAATGCAGCTCTGTCCGTCACAGGTGATATAATGCAGCGTGGCATGCTATTTTTTTGCCCTGATGGCAGACAGTGTGCATCTTCTGGGGGCCTGGAGCAATGCTGGGCTAAGCTAAGCTCCAGAGACACTATCTTGGTGTATTGAGAATTAGTGAATGTCCTTGTCCTTCCCAGCAGAGCTGGGCTGCATCCTGGCCTGGGACTGGCACGTGGAGGAGTACTCTTTGCTGCTCCCTACCTGCCCTCATCTGTGGCTGTCTCGGGCACTTCCCTTCCCCGAAAACAAACGCCACTAGCATGTTTGTTGTGGTGCTGGAGTAGCCTAGCCCTGTAATATGCTCCCTACTCTGGAAGTTGCCATTTCTCAGCCTGAGCTGCTAGGCTGCCCAGTGCTTCATGTGGTGCCCCAGTGGGCTGTGTACAGTGCTCCAACGTGCAGCAAACTACTGCTGTCTGGTTATTTATTCTCTTTTTTATTACTTTATTCTCTCCGCTTTATTCTTTGCCTTGCCCTAAAGCGAGGCTACTGCTTGTCCTGTCCTGCAGCTTTTCGTGGGCTGATCCTGCTTGAACCCCAGAATAACAATTCCAAGAAGACTACGTGGACAAAGCTATTGAACTAGTTGTTTATCATGACAAAATGATGTGTCAGGTAGAAAAACTAAACGACACACAGTTCATGTCTGCTGCCTGCGTAATAACTGTTCACTTGGTGAACTTCTGCTAATATGTCACCTTAATAAAATTGAACTTTAGCTCAAGATAGCAAATTTGCATTGCACTAGGATTGTCAGCTTCTTCACAGGTATTGCTGACTCTTTTTGGTTTGTGGATCCACTTAAGCAACCAAGAGGAGAGGCCTGTTGCCAGAGCTGGGAGAAAACAATATGTTCATAACTTAGTATTCCTGCACAGGGAGTGTTGAGGTTGCTGGTTGGAGCCAGATAGCCAATGACCCGGCACTCAAAAGGATAGTGAATATGTACTGAAGAGAAACCGCTGCCAGACTCACCTCAAAGAAGGCAAAGAAGGCTTGAGCAAGGACAGAGCAGAGCCAAGTTCTATGACAAAGCAGCATGAAGGCATCTATTAAATCCAGAGTGTTTGGGTGGAGGGTGGAGAAGGTAGGAAGGACCTGGTATAGATACTGAGACCTCTCTGCTATCCTCAGCCTCAAGCTCAGGCTGTAAACTGGCTGTCTCACTGTTGCTGGCAAGCCAAGGTGTTGAGCCTTCTTCAACAGGACACTTCCCATCAGAGAAACTTTGTTCATGTCTCCTAGTTTCTGAAACCACAGAGGAATGTAAGCAGCGCTTTCACCAGACACGGTCCTCCGGCTGGTTCCTGAGGCCAGTAGTTCTCTCCTTCCTCTGACCCTAGCAGCTTCCTGTTTGCTCCAGTCCTGATTAAAGAGTTGGCTGTAGTTGCAGAGATACAGAAATATTTTATGGGCTATCAGAGAATGACTGAGCTCTCTAATTCTGAATAGACAAGCTTCATATTTTTACTCCATTTCCAAAATATCTTTCTATTGTAGTATTTGAAGAGATAATGCATCAGTTGTTCTGATGCAGCAGCAAGGAGCCTTCATGGTGAAGCTGCAAGAGTAGAAAGCTGATGGAGCTGTCCTGAAAAAGGAGAAGGAAGACTCTGGCAGCTGCAGAAGCCAAGCCCCTGCAGTGTGAGACGTGTGTCATGAGTGCATACTCACGTGAAGGCAGTAAATCTTTGTAGCAAGCCAGGCATTTTGTGCAAAACTTTCCGAGCATGTTCCTAGTGATTTGGCAAGTTACTGAACTGCGGTAAGAGCTGCAGCTTCTCCTGCTGTCTTGTCTTACTTCTCCCAGCTTCAGCCATCTGCCCATCCTTGCCCACAGAAGTCTTTTTGTTGAGTGCTGCGTGAGTTCCTGTGGTGAAAGAGGGGATGTTTCATCTTCTTCATAGATTATAAGTAACTTCTCGGGCAGTTTTAGAATGACCACCTGAAAGCGTCCTAAAGGTTGAAGTTTCCTTCAGATGTCTCCATCAGCAGGTGGACACGATCACTTTTACGATAGTAACATTGGTGATGGTGGTCAGAGCTCACCAGCACTAAGGGCGAGTAGCCCTCACTGCATGTTTTCCTCCAGGGAGGCACTGTGGAAAATATACTGCTGCTCTCTCCTTGTGATCCGTCGGCTCCTCACAAGTGTCAGGATCATGCAGGAGCGGAATTGCTGCACTGGGTGTTGCAGTGAATGCAAAGCAGAAAATGCACCAAATGGGTACGGCTCTCCTTGCATTCGTTGCCTGATAAAAGATGTGCTTAGGATGGTTGGTTGTCAGCATCATCTCTTCCGTAGTTCTGCCTGCAGCGTTGGTCGTGGTGGGCTTTCAGCGTGAGAGCTCATGGTAAATGCCCTCATCTGCTTGTGCCCATTCTGGACAAAATTAGCCTGGCAAGACAGTCTGATAAAAGGCAGTTTTGACCTGGCCTGTCCCATCAAGGCCTTTGTCTTGTTGGTGTACGGCTTGTCCTTATCCATGCGTGATGTGGAGAGGTAAGTGTTCCTCAGAGGGACAAGCTCTTGAGACACTAGCGAAATGCACTTGGTACCTTGAATCTCCTGGTATGAACTTCGAGCTTGGCCTTACTCTTCTTGTTAGTACCTTTTGGGTTCAGCAGAACCAGCGCTGGGAAGAAGCAGAAGGAGAGTAGGAAAGAGCCTGGCTGCTTCCAGGCATCTGTCATGCAGGTTCCTTTCCTGCCTGCTTGGGTATTTCTAGGTGAGCCCAGTTACTCAAGGGCTGGGATCAAGGACTCAGACTTGTAACTGGGTTCACGCAAGTTTTGTGTAAAAGCTTAGATGCGGTGAAAGACAGAGGATCTGCTTTTATTCAGGGATAGCAGTAAGCGTGTTAGACAAGCAAATGCTCAGGCATGCCAGTTATGATGTGGGAAAAACAGAAAATGAAGCTTTGATAAAGATACAGCATTAGGAAATCTTGCTCTCTCCCTTTTTTCTTCCCCTCTTCAAACGCTTTGCAAATAGTTTTCAGACAACTGTTTGATCTTAAATTTGTGTGTCAGCAAAGGCTGTGTAGTTCTCTCAGGAATTAATAAATTGCAGAACAGGGTGAACAGGAGTGTGCTGTGGGCTGCTTTTAAAATCCTCCCTTGCATGAGCCTTAAAACTGCTGGGGGAAATTTCTTGCTGAAAAGTTTATCTTAAAAAGACCTGGAGCTATTTCAGGCTCATTGTTTCTTTTTAGATTAGCTAATTAGATGCATCCGTTTGATGTCAGCTGTTAATTTTATCCAAACAAGTATCTTTGGGGAAACTGGGTGGGTTGAAATGTTGAGTCTCTTCTGTGCTGGAAGGCGGTTGAAACAGCACTACGAAGTGTTACAGTAATTGATAGAGTGTTAAAAATACCTCTAGTGCTCTGAGCGGGCACTTCCTATTTTCCACGTGTTTTGGAGCTTTATGGCACAGTTCAGTGGCACATGATGATGTGGAAACTTCCAGCTCATCTTCAAGCAAAACTACACAGTCCCTTGACATGTTAAAAGCACATTTTGATGCTGCTACCAGTATCAATTCATAATTGTGTGAGCATTTCTTAGAACTGCTTTAGAACTCAGTAGCCAACTTAAACAACAGTGCTAGGGGAATGGAGGTTAGAAAATGTCCCCAGATTTGAAAGAAGCTCCCAGTGCACAGCAAAGAGACATGTAGATCCCCTCATAGTCAGGAGAAAAAGGAATGGGAATGGCAAAAACCTGGGATCTGCTGTTTTCTGGTGTCAGGTACTTGTCCCCTGTTGATTCCCTAATGCCTGATAGGGAATGCGCTTAGGCTGCAGCTGCACGCGCTTAGGCTGATCTGGGGCCTTCTGTCCTCGGTGAGCGCGCTTAGGCTGCAGCTGCAGCATGATGATGATCTGGGGCCTTCTGTCCTCGGTGAGATTTGTACAGCCAGATCGTTTGCCTTAGGTTAGAAATGCGTAACCTATTCCAGCTTCAGAACTAGGGGCTATGCTCGCGTTCTCCCCAGCCGACAGGAAGAGTGGTTGCTCACTGGCTTCCTGAGATCCTGGACCAGCTTTTGAAAGACCAGCAAAACTGCAGCTCCCCCTCTGTGTGTGTGCAGTGCTGGGAACCCAGGCGAGACGTGAGGAGAATGCAGCTTACTCATGGCTGGAAAACCTGACTCTTCATGCAAGCGCTTTCTTGGAAATCTCCCTCGCTAAGCTCAGTCCCTGTGGTGCCTTCTGGTCCTCCGAGTGGGGATGCGTGGGCGCCAGCTTTGCCTCGCGTGCCACGTACGACATGAAAGTCACTCCGGGAATGGATGAGCTAAAGCCTGTGGCCCTCGTGGCACAGTCAGCGCTCCTTACAAAACGGTGGCGTCTCTTTAACCCCTTGCCTGGGCCATTAGCTCTGCTCAAACAACTCTTGACGTTTTAATTTGATCCAGAAGCAATGGTTATTAGTTAATCCATCCTACTCAACCACGGGCAGGCTACATCCTTCTTTCTAGCAAAATGTATGTCTTGAGGTTTTCTTGTGGGTTGCGTCTGCTACTGAGCAGTATTTCAATGGAAGCTATAAGAATATCTTCACTGCATGTGAAATAAGTCTCTTAATAGTCTTAATAGTCTCCAAAGCCCTGTCAAGTTTAATAAACTTGCCATCTAATTCATATCCTAAATAGATGTTGGAAATCTTGGGTTTGATGCATCAGATTGGGCCTCGGTGGTTGTTAATCTGCTGACCTCTGAGAGCAGATACATAAAAAGAAAGCAGTTTTTAAGCCCTCTGTCAGGAAAGGAGTTAACTCTAGTGGGATTTTTGCACGTTGAATTTGTGTAGGCTGCTGCTCCTGAGATCTGTGCATTCAAAGCCTTGAACTGGTTTTGGTGAACATTATTTCCCATATGTGTTGATCCCTTCCCCCCTTCCCCGGCATTACGTGTTTTTACGCAATGTGGCCTTACTGACATTGTTGTCTTCAAACAGAGAGGATGCAGAGTTAATTATTCACTTTTCCTAGGAAAAGGAGACTTGTACATATCTAAAGCTTGTTTAAACATTGAAATCCACATTGCTAGAATTCCCTTGCCCAACAGTTTTCGGCAGGGCCGAGAGTTAAAATTTGCATAGGAACTGCAATGTCAGCAGTTGCATTCCTAGTGAGAGCCTAGATCCACCTGGGGAAACAGTGGGGCTCGAAGGAGGAATTTGGGTTAAAATTCTGGGCTTTGTCAGGAAATCTAAATTTAATTAAAACTAATCTCCCCTTGCCATGTTCTCTGCACACCAGCCTCTTCCTCACCTGCCTCAAAGCAGGGCTGCTGTGGAGCAGCAGCTGGTGGTGGGTAAGGGGGTCGTTTCTGTGCGCTGTTTTTGCAAGTATAATAACTTTGTTTCAAATCACCCTTTCAGTTAAAATTGTTCAGGAAAGGCTGGATTTTGTAGCCACTTTGCCAGGTCTCCAGTGCTTCTGGCATCCTTCAAAAGGGGAGACAATTCTGGGGAAAGTCAAGCCCTGTGAGCCCTGCCATGTGGGCATGTGGGCTCTGCGCTGTATTAGTAGCCTCTGCAGCCCAAGCAGATGCTGTCATTGGATCCTTG